TTTGAAAAAAAACAACAAAAAGAGAGAAAGAGAGAGAGAGAGAGAGAGAGAGAGAGAGAGGAGGAGCGGGACGGAGCCGGCGGGCGAGGAGGAAGCAAATGTTTACGAAGCCCTCCGAGGCTTCTGAGGACGTTTTGTGTGTGAATATTTGTACACTGTAGAATAATTAATAATAAAAAAAAAGGAAGTATCTGGGATGTCCGAGTCGTGTTTTGCTGCCGCTTGCTGGTCACTTTTTCTGGGCTGAATGGGTGAAAATCCTCAGGAAAATTCTCACAAAGAGAGAGCCGGGCTTCTTCTTCTGTGGTTCTAAAGGCTGACACCTCCTCACATTTTAAGGGATTTAAGCACCTTCTCCGTTGGGGTCCAAGTCGAGCTGAGTTCCGGCCCCTGATTGGGCAGGGGTCATGTGACTGGATGAGTCCTGCACCCCCACAGGCCCTTGGCTTGTTTTAAAGTTATTATTTCTACAATTACCTGATGAACAAATGGAAAACGGCTTGAACTGAGCCCAGTGAGGGTGAGTAGGCCTCGGGGGGGAAAAGGGGCCACCACCTGGATGACTGCCGATCTGCTGAAATTCAATTTCAGGAGGCACCATTACAAATTTGACTGTTTTTTAAAGCATCTAGTCCAAAAAAAAGAGTCACCACACCTCTCCAAATCACAAGATTATATATCTGAGACGTATTTTTCTTTAAAAATAAGAAGAAAAATCTTTAAATCTCTGGGTTTTCTGCACCGATCGACACCCAGCCGAATGCAAAGTTGGAAATGTGTGTCTGAGGGGGGGTTGTAATGCCTATACCACCCCCCCCCATTCCGTCTTCTGAGGGGGGAAGCTGTGAAACACCGAGGAAACGCACGCATGATGGCTTCATCAATACCTGATGGAACCGGTGTTGATGGTTGGTCGATTTGGCGCATCGGGAGAGGAGCGGGGGGGCGTCTGGGGGGGGGGTTGTTGTTTGTGCTCTGTTGTACAACAACCAAACACCCCCTGACCCCCTCCATCCAATCCCTGAGCGGGGAGCTGCAGTTCCAGGCCTGGCCACGTGGGGGCAGCAGAGTCCCGGTGAGACCGGAAGCCAGCTCCGAGGTTTCACCTCCAAATGAGATTTGCTTATGTCCTGCTGTTTGAATATTTTAAAAAAATCTGTTTTTTAATCTTCTTAACATGGTCTTAAGATATTTTATGTCAAATTCTGAGCCAATGCTGCTATTAATGATAAAGATCTGGCAGATGTGGATTATTTTCTGTCATTTGTTTTCCCTTTAATGCAAGGAAAACAATCGAACGTGCCAGATTAAATACTTATTAAGCCTTTTAATCACACTATCTCTAGATGAACACACGTCTTAGCATTTGAACGAATCAAAAACCTTATAAAATATGTAAAAGGAGGAGTTTTTTTAGCCTGTTAAAGCATGGCTAAACAATTACTTTTCAGAGCTTACGCTGCCAAAAAGAATCAGATGTAATAAATCTTGTCACTTTCAGGGCAAAGTCAATGCCGCCTGGACACGTCAGATAAATATCTGCCTCTGGTGGACGCTGTCCAGTTTGAATGAACGCATGCTGATGCTAATGTTTGGGCTCTGAATCATCTACTAATATTATGGTTAAAGATAAAGCCTTTTTTCATGTGCTGTGGGAACCAAAGAAGAATGAATCCCAGTCATGCTCTGCAGTGACCAGTAGAGGGCGCATCAGTTGATACAAACCTGGAAAATAAACATTTTCTACTTTAGTTATTAAAAAATACAGATGAATTGTGTCAATTTTCCTGCCAAAGCGTGGTCAGATACTGATTTTAAACCCATTTCAGTATATTTTATTAGCAGAAAATTGTTATTCTGAGTCAAATCTAAACAGCCTGAAGTATAAAACAGCCACACAATTCTGTTCCCATCACATTACAACAAATGTTTGAATGTTTAGTATGATAAACTTATTCATAATGAATTATGACTCAGTTTTTAAAGCAAAAACAGCAAGAATTCTGACTTATTATTGACTATAGTTTGGATCAGAGGCACATATGTTGATATATTATTACAGAAAGTTGTTTTAAAGATGGCGAAAAGAGCAAAATATATTATAATCAAAAGCTAAGTTAAAGCCAAGCTCTGCTTTGGCAGCCATTGGGAACAGAACCTTTATTTTATGCTTAAGTCTGCTGCTTGTCCCCTTTACCTGGGCCCGTCCTGCAGATGCATTGTGGGTAACAAACTGTACCTTTGCAGGGTTTAAACCCAGAAAGCAAAACGACTTTAAAACTGCTCCAAGCTGCCACTTCTGTAGCACGTTCTCCTCCTCCTCCTTCTTTTTTTATTTTGATTTTTCCTGGCCCTGTGTTTTTTTTCTCTAACCTCAGTGGAGCTCTGCAGGTTTGGGGACGCGTGGCGGATATTTACGGCCCCCCCGACGACTCTGCAGTGTGGTAATTGGCCCCGCAATGACGCTAACGCCGGGGAAAGGAAGCAGCAGAAAGTGATGCAACGGCGTAAAGATGGCAGATCCTCCCCTTAATGAATGTTAGTAGAGAAAGGTAATGAACAGACAGAACTAGGCTTAAAGGCACACATACATAAAGCCTACGTCTAATGGTGGTTTTTTTATTTTTTTATTTCCCCCAGCCTGCCACTATACTTCATCTCTCCCCACTCCTCTCTGCCAAAAACCAGCCTCTCCTTTCTTTATCCCCATCACTCAGCCCTCTCTCCTCTCTCGTTTGGATCCCATTCCAGAGCGGTGTAATGGGTTTATTAGTGTGGTTAATGCACTGTGACCTGCTGGGGCCTGCCGTCTACCTTTTTCATCCCCCCTAAAAAAAAAAAGGAGAGAAAAAAAAAAGAAAAGATGGAATGTTTTTAAAAGGGAAGCAGAAAGGGAGAAAATGCGTAAAAAAAAAAAAAGGGGGCTGCAATAAAGAAAGCAGGGAGGGCCATTTAGAGAAGGGAAATTAGAGCGGAAAAAATGAAGCAAATTAAGATGCAAATAGGAGAAAAAGTTACTCGGGTCGGCTTGCCAGGTTCGGAGAGAGGAAAACAGAAGTTGTGAGAGCTGGATTTTAGATTAACACGAAGGCAAACATCGTAACAAACAGCCTGGGACAGTCGAGGCCTGATGGCTGCCATGTTTACGCAGACGGGGAACTGGTGCAAATGAATGGTTTTGTTTCCCCCAAACCGGGCCGGTGAGACCCTCAACCCGGCGCGCTGGTTAATGAAGTCGTTTCAGACGGGACCGCGGCCAAAACACCAGATTTAGATGGTGGAGGTTTTACCTGAAAGGGAGTTCGGGTCTGAAAAAAAAAAGAAAAAAAGCATGTACTTGGGATTTGAAAAAAAAAAAAAAAAAAAAGGTTTAACCGGAGAGCACTTTCTGCTGCATTACTGTGTTGAGAAAAACAGATAAGACTCATAAAAAAAAGAAAAGAGAGAAATCTGTCATTTGTCAGTTGCAATAAACAGCATTTTATACTTATATTTCACATAAATTGTATTTTCTACAACTCAAACAACTGATGGAAAGAGCTTTTCCAAACACAGTCCATTATTTTAAATGTGTCTGCTCTGATAAACACTTTGAACTGGTATAAAGTGTTGTTTTACACCATAAAAGAACACTTAGAATGAGGTTTAAACTATGAAGAAGCACAGCTAGCATTAGCATAGCATTTGATGCTACAAATGATGTTTAATGAACTTCATGTTGGAGAGTTTTGTATGAAATTCTCTCTGTGGCTCAGTGTTTGAACAGATTTCAGCACAAACTAAGGATGTTAAGCCTCTGCTTTCTCTCAAGTTCCTCCATCCAGCCTCAGTTGGTTTGCTACGCTAGCTGCACTGTTAGCAACACCGGTTAATATTTTGGCTAGCACAGCAACAAAGTGTCACAACAAACAAATTTCACATGAAGAAAATACAAATTGAAGTAAAACAAACCACAAAAAAAAATGTAAAAACAGTTAAGGCTGAACAAAAGCAAAGCTCAACACCTGCTAGCTGCTAGCATCAGTTGTTAAAGATGCTAGTTCTTGTTTAAATTTTAGTGGTTAAGCCCACCAGCCAGATACTGGTTAGTGGTTCAAACAAGAGAACCTGCTATT